CAAAACCTCTTTCTTTCTCTTCTATCTTAATATTCTAAGAGCATTTCATTTCCGTAATCTTTCAGTAGTGAACTCGGACGGTACTATAAGAGAAATTAAGAAAAGGCACGCGGAGGTGGTATTCCCAGATCTCTCGTTTCGCTGGAATTAATGGCGTATCGTGAGTTCTCTAGCTTAACGAGAAAGCTACTCGTGAGAGGAAGAAGCGCCACGACGTCGTCGCATGGCGATGCGACGGCCTATTCATTGAGTAGTTTCACTTGTCGCGCCGTATTAAAGGCCGACTACCGTTGCCATTCTATCGAAAGCCAAGAAAGCGCCGACAAAGTTATTGCAACCGCGTTAAGTCCGTTTTAACGGCTTAGCAAAACTCTGTATCGACGTTGGGTTTTAACGGCAGAGTGGAAAAAAAAACAACAGAAATAAAGACGGTGAATCGAAAGAGGCGTTTTGACATGGATTACGTCTACCTCGTCTCTCCTCATTTATTTATGAATGCGTTCTTGTTATTTTTCCCCTTTTATGCACACGTGACGAGTTCTTATTATATTTTCTACGTATAAACACATGCTCGAAAATGGAACATGAAGAAAAATGTAGCGTGTTATGTAGTTTTCTCATTACTTTATGCCTCGATAGAGTAAAATAAACCTCGTGTGTATATACAAGCAGATTAAAATAAAACACATCACATACATTACATATAGATCTTTCCTTTCACGTTGCAAAAATTACTTATACATTCGCCTTACAGATATGCATACGAAGAGAAAACTCCGACAACTCTAAACCGCGTTACGCGAAGCAGATAAATATAAATCATAGATGAATCCGGCGGATTACACACCAACACACGTAAATTTGTCGATGTATGGACCGGTTACGGTATCATTATCCAGTTCGCACTTGGATTCAGCTCGTGAAAAGCTGAAAAAGGAATAGGACAGCTTTGATCAATGAAAAAAAAACATGGATCGAACGCCAGGCTATAATCGCATTTGGCACTACTGTATTTGTTATCGATGCTTTCAAGACCGATTGTTCGCGAGCTTTTCTTCATAAATCTTTTATCCCAGCCAACACAATATTTCTCAATTATTTGTCTTCTTAATGTGATGTTTCAAATCGTATTCTCTTATTCGCAATGAAACAACGATCAATCTTATTTGCCAAATTAGAAATTTATTTTTGTGACAATGAATCGATCTTTTCATCACAGAGAATTGCATTGTCTTATCTACAATTGACCCCGACGCGTTTTTGCAATTGGTCGCAAGAAAATGTTACGTTTGATTTTAATTCGAGAATATGGCATCATAAATGGAATCCATTATATATTGATGCTCGATGTAAAGTTTTAAACTCGCTCTTTTCTTAAATTTATTTTCTTGAAGTGAAATATACATACGTTGAAAACTTTTCCATATTCGAACACTCAGTAGTGCGCGCTTAGAACACGTGCACGTGTAAAGAATGAGTAATAGAGGCGGAATATTCAGAGAAATGTTGTATGACATAACTTCTAAGAGGAAAATTTCGATAAGAAATTTACATTCAATACATCTCTAGCCTTTGGCAGAAACCATCAAAATGCAAATGTTTCAAACACTATCGCAGCTGACATCACATTAATTAGAAACAGTTTCTCTCTTTCTAATTAATCATAATATTTGTGCAATTCGTTCTCTATTTATCTAATTTCCATGCATAATTTTCAAAAATGGAATTTATTGCTCCTTGTGAAGACAGAAACTGTAAAATTTTTACCCGCAAATCTCCGGAAGGTAATTCATTACCCAACGTTCTACTAATTTAATGAATTATCTATGTTACCGAATCGCTGCCGAATTACAGCCACATTCATTCATCTTTAATCCTCGTTCTCTCTCCAGAACTGAAAATAAATTGAGGGTCGTGCATACCGAATTCCTATCCTCCTTTCTCTCAAAATTTCTCTCAGAACATTCAGAGACCTACACAATAATTCTGGCCATTATGCAAAAGACAGATTCAAGCATATAGGCAATAGACGTAGAAAACGTAGATATTATTATCGTGCCAGACTAAGTGCAACGATTCTTCAATTTGATAAAGAACATGAGATATTCTTGTATGTCTATATTTTCTACCGACTCGTCTGTTCATTATAAATGCATATTTTGCATAAAAAATGGCGAATGAATATCCTTAAAAATAAAAAAAACATAAAATAAAAAAATAGACTGCTCGCGATATAGAAATTCAAAAATTTAATACATTATACTTTTTCTTAGGTTCTTTTTTGTTGTATACCTACGATTTTCTAATTATTTATTGTTATTATAATTTAAATAATTAATTAATTACGTATTGTGTTAACATTCTGATTAATTATTATTCATTGTTACATGCATATTACGTAGATAATAATTGCGCATTTACATATAAAATCTGTCAATAAATGATAATTGAATAGCATTAAAGAAATATTTTTCTAATGTGATATATAACACATGCTAATACGACTGAAAATAATTTTTCTTTAGCTTGTCGCGCCAACATTAATCTTCCGGCGAACATTTACATCACTGTCTGCAGTAACAGCAAACATCTATCTGCTTAGTAATGGCTCCTACTAAAATCACAAAACTTTCACAGAAAATTGTACCATGAAATATTCCTTTTCCTTTTGCCAACATTATCTAATTTTAATCAAAGATTGATCGAGTTGGAGAAAAATTTATCATTTTTCCATCTACTATGTATTAAATAATACATTACACGTAATAAATAATATATTATAAAAACAAAATTCTTTATATGATATTATTATATGATATTATTATATGATAAATTTTTACAAAAAGGAATATATTAAAGTTTTATACGGCGAAATTTGATTTTGCTGAAATTTTGTTTTCGACTTTGTTCGACAATACATGACGAACCTCTCGCATCGAAACAAGCATTCAGATTCGTGTCACTGAATATACAATGTAAAAAGTGCAGCGATTGCGTACGTGATCAATGAATTATTTACATATTACACAACTCCTGCGCTCGCTATGCAAATTACAGGAAAGTAATGATCAACCGAACCAATCGCGTGCATCCTAATCGATGACGAAAAGCCATCGACAAGAAATCTGTTTATGGTTCGCTTTGCAAATATATAGGTGATAACACGCTCGATGAAAAAGGAACCGATATATATCGCTACGATCCTCGTAGGAGCCAATTAAGAGATGCGAGTGATCGTCGCAATTCGGGAAGAAAATAAAGAAAAAAAAAACACCTGTCCGATTCCCATGTGGTAGTTCCAACTTTCTATCTCCCGTTGTTGCCCCCTTTCCGACCACCACCGCCCGTAGATACACAAATGCGCGAGTCCCGACAAAGCTACTTTGTTACTGCTAATTGGCTCGCGCGATCGATAACCACGCAATTCGAGCGCTTAATCCCATCGCAAACTGCATGCGTGGCAGGGCGTGACGTAAGAACACGCGTGGACACGCCGTTTGTAATGTTCGCACGTACGTTAATTCCGCGTTGCCCTAATTCTGCGGCTTTAACCAAAATCCGTTGCAACACGAAAGATAAAAATAGTACGTATTGATATCAGTGCAAAATACTGTTCCTTATTAAGAAAAGCTCTCTCTTTCTCTTAGCTTCAAATAACTTTTAAAACCAGCTTCACGTAAATCAAAATTTTTAATTTGCTATAACGTTTATACTATAATCTTATATCTCTACTGTGATTGACCAATTCGCTTATTACTTTAGGTTTTTCTGTGTACCATTAGCTTAAATTTTAAACTAGTGACATATAAAAAAACGTGACTACATAAAGTCATAAATATAGTAAGTATTATAGTAAGTAAAAATTTATTTTATATAATTACAAGTCAATAATGTAAGGTAATTACGGACACAATAAAAAACATTTTGTATTTGCGTCCATTCAAATCCTTGTTAAAATTTTATGTTGAATGTATGTTTTTAACATATTCGAGTATTAATTTAATGTGATTATATTATTTAAATATTTTGTATTATATTAAATTAATAAATTCAACATTTAATGTTAAAATAACACAATTTATGAATAATTGAACAAATAACATGAAAATAATGTTTTAAAACATAAGTTTTAAAATAAATGAATAAAATACGTAAATGGTAATTTAATATATCATAAATGTTAATTTTACGGAAAAAATATGCTCCCACAGATTGCTCAGAAATCACACTTTCTATGTTAATTTTTTTATATAATATTCGTGCTACTTTCTAACATATTTATCAGATGTCAAATTAACATAAAAATTTAAGTGGATCGTTTGAGATACATGAATGTGTTAAATTTAACACAAGTTTTTTCAACTATATATAAATAAATCAGCATTTTTTATTTGCTTACGTTTCACTGCCTATATTTTTCTATGTCACTTTTATTTTATTTTATTCGTCATTATTTCTTATTGCAATCTATATTACGTAAATAGTGTCTAAACATGTTTTCGTCTCTAGGAATAAGATATCTGTCGATGATAGTAGGCGGCAAGTGTCAATAGAGTGAAGATATCGGACGTAAACGAGGCATACCTGTCTCACTATGTGACCAGAATAAAACGGAATATATATTTGTATCGGAAATTTAACCTTTGACCGTAAGGAATCGTGAGAAATCTTACACATCACATCTTATATGTAGGTATATATTATTCTTTCAAAGGAATATCTCGATTATGCAATTGAAAAATACGGACGTACAATAATTATCGTCGTAATTATCTCTTTGTCCCTCCCTTGTCAAATAAAATAATCAAATTATGTCACAAATTTGTGATAATAATGATAAATAGCGAGCGACAATAATAATTTCATAGAGTGAAATGTTGTTCATAATATGTTCTCTCGTTAATAAAATTAAGAAGTGTTGTCAAGCTAAATAATTCTCATGGAATAGATGTTTATGATGAAAATGGTGAAACAATGATCAGACGAAACAACGGACTCACCAATATATGTGTGCTTCTACAAATTAATTTACGCTGCGGTAGCCGGTATGATGTCGACAGTCCTTATTAGTGTGATCACCGTCCGAGTAGTAAATTTGTGATGGCCAGGACGAATAATGAGGCGAAACGCTTCCGCTTCGCTGCATCCGAATCCCTTCATGCAGAAATACACCTTCAATAAACGTAAAAATGCGATTTTCCAGTAAAAGTAATTTATGAAAGAGAAAATAATAAAGAGAAGTTTATAAACAAGTTCAACAACATCAATAAGATGGTATGTTTTTTTTTTAAGTTTTTATATAAATTTATAAACAAATATATATAACGCAACGAACAAAAAAAAAACACAGCGATAATAAACAAGATGAAACGAAATTATTTAACGTATTATATTTTTCTTTCTCATTTCTTTTTCATTTCTCGTAACTGTCTAACGTGGAACCAAATAAAATAAGTTTGACACACACATGATAAATTATTATATTATTCCATCCAATCTACAGATCTCTGATCTACAGATAGTCCATATTTTCCGAATGTCATCTTCGATTTTCATCTATTTAAATATAAACGTCGAGATCTCACCTGTCCCGAATCCTCGATCCTTGCGGGCTCCTGAATTCTCTTCTCCAATTGCTTAAATAATCCTCGCTTAAACAACAATATAATATCGGTACTTCGTAATTTATTTATCAATACGGCGCATTTATCAAATCGTTTAATTCTCTTCGCAATATCTCTTTTTTATCATTCTCTCTTTCGCCTTGAGTCGCTAAAGAGTTCCATTTGTCGATTTTTAAACAGTGCCTTCGCTTTCCTTCAGAGCCAATTTGCGATCATTGAACATTATTACGTAGCTTTTACTTTTGCAAAGATCTGTCGGTTATTTTGATCCACTGAAAAACAGTTCGGATTCCTCGATTACTCGTTCCCTCGTTCTTTGCGTTACACTTCATCTCTCCAACGTGCTTCGTTCACGCGAGTTCATTGACATCCGGCCACTGCCCAACTGTCTTGTCTCTCGACACTCGTCCTACAAATTCGAATCACTCACCATTCTATCTGCGAACTAAATTTTTTATCCTTTTCTAATGAGATTCGCGAAAGGATCGAACATCGTTCAATTTTCTTTTTTCTCGTTGCGGTTCTGGTGCACCAAAATTTCTGTATATCTAATACACACCACCTCGATCACTTTTCATTAAGTAAAATTATTAATTCAGTCTCGATCTTCCTAACAATCGATAATCGTGATCTCGCACTTGAAACATAATTACCCAGGTAGCGAGCTCCCTTCGATCTCTTCTTCTAGATCACCAAACTCTCACCAAGGAACCGATGAAAAATTCTCCGGTAAGGAACTTTTCCACAGTGAACTTTTGATTCGAGTTTTCCAACTCGAATCTTCACGCGTGCAGGATCCAGCGTGATCGCGAGGTAACGCGGAAACGAACATTGACGAGATGATCTAGAAAGGAGGATCCAGGAGCGATCGAGCGCGGAGCAAAGAAGAGACGAAGACCGGCCGGTATCGGACCTCGTGGATGCTGACTTGTTGGCTTGCGGAGTAACGTGTCGTGGGTGGAGTGCGCCCCTCGCCGCCGGGTGGCCAGACCAGGTCGGCGACCGTCGTACCCGTGTCCTGCGAATGGCTTGTACCGGCGGCGCGCTCGCGACTGGGATCCTGGATTTCGGATGAGGGGCTCGCTCTCAAGAATCAAACACGCAGGCGCTGCATGCTCGCCGTCTCTTTTCCTGGCGCGCCGACTCGCCTTGCTTCTCTCTGTCTTTCTTACTCGGCAGCCTGCCGGTGCTCGCCTGCTCCTGCTTACGCGCGGGGTGGCTGATGTGAGAGAGTAACCTACCCTGTCCACCTGCCCCTACCTGTGCGTCCCTATCTACTCCCTTGTTTCTGACCCTACCCCGTTCCTGCTTGCCGACATCACAGAAAAGACGTGCATTCTATTAATAATTGCCACGGTGACGTGGTCTTAAACGACACGCGAGTGCATTCGCCGCTTCCTGACGTAGTCCCCCGGTTAATGACGTTGAGATACTCGCGTTAACACGACGCATCCACATAGATGCATCACACTAATCGCGTCAATCTGGTCGACGGGTCTCGAGCGGAACGTGTTAAGCGGAAACGATTATGCGCCGTAACGACTAATTGCAAAAGCGTAATAATCCTTATTAAAAATATATATAAGTACGCAAATAAATAGATAATTTTTTAAATATTTTTAAATACTTATATGCAACTTTTTATTTTTTTTCCATCCGAAAAGATAAAAACTTCGTATTCATTTTGAATTAAAAAAAAATAAAAGTTATTCTCTTATTTAGTTTTAATCAAACTAAGTGCCGAGCACGCTTTTGTAACGTTCTACATCGTTACAGTCGAAAAATATAACGAAAACTTTATTACAATATTAGCTGCCGTTCACAAATGTCAACATGCGAGCCATTTTATTCTATAATGTCCTTGCTGCTCTTATTCCTGCTCGTAGGGCTACGTGAGTCTGCCAAGGGTTGTTTTACCCATCCTAGTCCTTCGTTTGCTACGTGCTTCGAGTATTTTCGCAGTGAACCTGCACTACCTGCCTACATACTGACATTTATAGACGCACTTGCGTAGGTTTGAAACTTTTTATTTGTATACAATACAATTTTTAATCTAATCGGGTGAATTTAATTTGGAAAAGCTTTGTAGAGCCCCAATAAAGAATTAGACCGCTGTCTCTCAAAATTGCTACAAAAATAATAAAATATGAAGATATGATAATGATGCGAACAATTATACTATTATTATTTTAATAAAGGATTCTCAGTGCAATCGCGTATATACAATCGCGTATATGCGTATTAAAGTTTCAAGAGTATTGTGTAGGTCGCTCGAGATCCTATGCAAACTATCTAAATCCCGAGATAACATATGCATTCAAGAAACAGTTAACGATATATGTGACATACGTAGTGAATATAAACTATGAATTAATTACTGAAATCTTTCTAGAGTGATTACACTGTTCAACCAAATTCTCTCCGAAGTGCTGTAGTACATATTCTACAGATTTTCTTGCATTCAACGCGATGCTATCAGAATTAACGTAGCATATCAAGATTTTCAGTAAATTAGAGTGAAATTGATCAAAAATTTTTGATCATTTTCAACATTCTTTTATAGCAAAACTTGTTTGAAATAATGGCATCTAAAAACACAATTCAAGAACTTTCATTTAAATAAATTTTAACTCGCATAATCGCAATTTATTTTCATTAAATTATCGCTGAAATTTATTTAAATTTTAAACGTTTTCTATATAATTATGTAGTTTAACAAAAAATTATTTTTTTCCTCGAAATGTCATACATATTCAAAATTTTTTTTATATTGAACGATGTTGTCGTCAGAATTTGCGTAGCACATTAAGCTTTTAATAAATTTAGATGAAATGAGTCAAAAACCATTCCAATTTACTAAAAATCTTGATCCACTACGCAAATTTTAACGACGGCATTGTGTTCAGCGCCAAAAATTTTCGATGTATGTATCATAGCATTGCAAAGAGAAAAAAAAGTAATTTTTTGTTGAACTGTAATTATACAAATGTCTAACATTCAATTAGTAATATCTTGATGAAAATAAGTGTTGTATGATCATGAATTAAAATTCATTTAAAAGCTTCGAATTGTATTTTTAGACTGATATTTATAGTTTGTTCTTTAAGATCTTAAGTAATATTTTAAGATGTAATATTATTAAATTATTATATAAAGATGCTAATACACCACGAATCTGTAATTCGTTTATAAATGATTATGACATCTTAAAAGACTATACTACCGTCAATATTAAATATAAGACTATAAATTGCTACAAATTGCGTAAACTTTATTTATAAACAAAGTTTTGTTTTAAATAATACTAAAAAAAAATACTAAAAATAGTAAAAAATTATTTGTTTATTTTATCTCAATTTCACTTGAAAATCTTGACGTGCTACGTAAATTTTGCCAACAGCAACACGAAAAAATCTTCAAAATGTGTACTATGGCACTTCGGAGAGAAAAAAAGTGACTTTTCAAACATTACTATTAACAGATATGAATAATTGACGCAACTTGTACCATTCTGATAGTAAGACCAAATTAAAAAATAACAATTTAAATGATAACATGAAAAGATTCACGACAATAATATATTTTCACTTCAGCTATTTTCTATAAACAATTTATAATTCGTGTCGGAATCCAGGATAAAATTTAGAGAAAAGCTTTATTCATTTTTTATTCATAATTTTGTAATACAAAAAAGATATGATAGATACGAATACACATATCAGAAGAAAACATACATGCAAAAATAAGAATATATATATAAAATTATCAACATGGAATTTTATTTTATAAAAACTGACGTGAATTATAGAGAGTCTAAATCTTTTTTCATCCTGCTGTGAATTTTCAGTGCAAACATTATATAAATCAAGTAATAACAATATACGCAAACAGAAGCATTCAGAGGTATAATAGAAGCGTTCCGATCAGAACAGCAGATATATGATCAGGGCAACGTATAGATGATCTATTCCTAAATATTTGCACGATCTTTGAAAGACGTGTATAAACAAGCTAATGCATGTTAATATATCTTCGCTAAAGCTTCAAGTAACGCGGTGCAACTTGGCATGCACTTACGATGGCTTGCAACTCTCACCTACACGTTGAATATTGCGACTAACCGTAATATTGTTTACGCAGTTAATTTCTACTCACTGCGTGACATTTACGACCTGTAATATCTCTCGTTAGATCCGAACACGCCTGTCCGCTTTGACTCGATTTAACTCGCTTTGACTCGCTTTGACTGAAATTTATGCGTAATTATTCGTTAATGCTTTGATCTTCCGGCGAATAAAGTCGGATTCTCTTAACTTTGAGCATTGGCAATTAACTTATCTCTAATTTTATATTTCTTATCTTATTGCTTAAAGGAATGTACATAATATAATATTTATATATGTCCTCTTATATAATACTTTATATTAGCTAGAAATAATAATATAATATATAAGAAGTGATCAATTAATTATTATTATTATTATTATTACTATCCCGCAGTGTTAAATTAAATTTTAATCAAATATTTATATCCTGCTATTATTTCAGTCACTAATTAGTTATCTAACTGATCACTTTCCGTTCAAAAAATACTGTTTATTTTATTACGAAATCGAATATTATATGCTTTCATTTGTGAAGTCTAATAATCCAGATATATAAAATATATATCTTTCTAGATTTTTTAAAGAAAAATTTATTTGTAGCATTTCTAAATGCTTTATCTCTTTATTGTTCGATTGATTCCGAATCAATATAAAAGAATATTTTTTTACAATCATCACATCTTTTTTTTGTTGTAAGGAAAATTTTTTATGCGGTATCTTCCAAATGTATCTGAAATGCATTTCAGAAATAACTCTATAGGGTATTGACTTCCAGAGGAGCGTTATACAAGCATTGTACGTACACACGTGGGCATCCGCTTATACAGGTTCGCATAAATATGCAAAATCCTTTACATTTACGGTGCATAAAGTTTTATGCATTTTTCAACGCGTGTGCATATAACACTTAGCTGCAAGCGTTACCTTTAGCATGATACCTTCCTACGTTCAAATACTGACCCACGCAACATGGGGTTACGACCGCAGAGCCAAGGATGCTGTTGCATCATATACTCCTTTATATTCCGCATCGAAAACCATTGCGATAAGTCTCGGAGACTGAGCGGAAAGTGCAACTATGATGTTCAAGTTTGATGCGAACAAGCGAGTGTAAACAGGCCGGTCTGCAATTAAGCGGACTGGCGGATTAACTCGGGAGCTTTGCGCATTTCGTCTCTTTCATGCGAGGAGTTACGTACCACCGAAAGTACACCGAATGCGAGATAACACATTCGAAAATTACAGACACCGGACTCTGCATCTCTCGTCACGTAAACCGCGACGTTGCAACTGATTCAGTTCATTGAATTTCTCATGTAAAGAATATATTAATTGCGATAAAAATGTCATTTCATTACGATTCTTATGTGAGATTCTTATGTGACAAAAATTCTACGTTTCTTTCTTTTAATTACTCTTTTTTTAATTAAAGAATATAATTAAAAAATGTCTTTGTTATCTATTTATATCAAACACGTACAGGTCCTTTTACGTGTCCTTTTACTTACGAAATTGCGACGAAATTTCGGTCGTAATAGTATATAATACTAAATCTATTTTTTTTTTCTTTCTCTTTTAGTAATAATATTTATTTTGATAATTCTGAATTTAAATAATTACATGGTTATGTAAAATAAGTAAATTAATGTCATGCTATCAATTTAGATTGACTTTAATTTTCAATTTACTCTTCATCATTT